GGATCCCATCAAAACTCCACAGTTAAGCGTGCTTGGGCGAGAGTAGTACTAGGATGGGTCAGCCCCTGCGAAGTCCTCGTGTTGCACCCCTTTTGCCCTTTTTTTTCCTTTTTTTTTTCTCACCCTTCCCGGGACAACATGTCCGGTTTTTTTCCCATTCAATCGCCTTCGCTTCCTTTTCGACAAATTTCTCCATTATAAACCATTTCCAGATTATCCTATTCCATTCAATTTCATTTCTTTTTCCCTCTACTGCTTAAAACAATAAAGTCGCGGTTAATCTTTGGGTGCGATCATACCAGCCCTAATGCACCGGATCCCATCAGAACTCCGCAGTTAAGCGCGCTTAGGTGAGAGTAGTACTAGGATGGGTGACCCCTGGGAAGCCCTCGTGTTGCACCTCTTTTGCACCGTTTTTTTCCTTTTTTTTTTTCACCCTTCCCCGAACAATCTGTCCGATTTTTAGCCCATTCAATCGCCTTCGCCTCCTTTTCGACAAATTTCTCCCTTTTAAACCGTTTCCAGATTATCCTATTCCACTCAATTTCATTTTTTTTTTCCGTCTACTGGTCAAAACTATAAAATCACGGTTAATCTTCGGGTGCGATCATACCAGCACTAATGCACCGGATCCCATCAGAACTCCACAGTTAAGCGTGCTTGGACGACAGTTGTACTAGGATGGGTGACCCCCTGGAAAGTCCTCATCTTGCACCCCTTTTGCCCTTTTTTTTTACCTTTTTTTTTTCACCCTTCCCGGGACAACCTGTCCGGTTTTTGACCAATTCAATCGCCTTCGCATCATTTTCTACAAATTTCTCCCTTTTAAACCGTTTCCAGATTATCCTATTCCATTCAATTTCATTTTTTTTCCCTCTACTGCTTAAAACAATAAAGTCGCGGTTAATCTTCGGGTGCGATCAAACCAGCCCTAATGCAGCGGATCCCATCAGAACTCCGCAGTTAAGCGCGCTTGGGCGAGAGTAGTACTAGGATGGGTGACCCCTAGGAAGTCCTCGTGTTGCACCCCTTTTGCCCCTTTTTCTTCCTTTTTTTTTCACCCTTCCCCGGACAACCTATCCGGTTTTTAGCCCATTCAATCGCCTTCGCCTCCTTTCCGAAAAATTTCTCCTTTTTAAACCATTTCCAGATTATCCTATTCCATTCAATTTCAATTTTTTTTTCCGTCTGCTGCTTAAAATAATAAGGTCGCGGTTAATCTTTGGGTGTGATCATACCAGCACTAATGCACCGGATCCCATCAGAACTCCGCAGTTAAGCGTGCTTGGGCGAGAGTAGCACGAGGATGGGTGACCCCCTGGGAAGTCCTCGTGTTGCACCCTTTTTGCCCCTTTTTTTTTTCATTTTTTTCCCCCTTTCCCCAGACAACCTGTCCGGTTTTTAGCCCATTCAATGGCCTTCGCCTCATTTTCGACAAATTTCTTCCTTTTAAACCATTTCTAGATTATCCTATTCCATTCAATTTCATTTTTTTTATTCCCGTCTACTGCATAAAACAATAAAGTCACGGTTAATCTTCGGGTGCGATCATACTAGCACTAATGCACCGGATCCCATCAGAGCTCCGCGGTTAAGCGTGCTTGGGCGAGAGTAGTACTAGGATAGGTGACCCCCTGGGAAGTCCTCTTATTCCAGCCCCTTTGCGCCTTTTTTTTCCTTTTTTTTTTCGCCATTCCCCGACCAACTTGTCTGGTTTTTAGCCGATTCAATCGCCTTCGCCTCCTTTTCGACAAATTTCTCCCTTTTAAACCATTTCCAAATTATCCTATTTCATTCAATTTCATTTTTTTTTTTCGTCTACTGCTTAAAACAGTAAAGTGGCGGTTAATCTTCGGGTGCGATCATACCAGCACTAATGCAACGGATCCCATCAGAACTCAGCCATTAAGCGTGCTTGGGCGAGAGTAGTACGGGGATGGATGACTGCCTGGGAAGTCCTCGTATTGCACCCCTTTTTTTTCCTTTTTTTTTTTCACCCTTCCCAGGACAACCTGTCCGGTTTTTAGCCCATTCAATCGCCTTCGCCTCCTTTTCGACGAATTTCTCCCTTTTAATCCATTTCTAGATTATCCTATTCCATTCAATTTCATTTTTTTTTTCCCGTCTGCAGCTTAAAAAAATAAAGTCGCGGTTAACCTCCGGGTGCGATCATACGAGTACTAATGCACCGGATCCCATCAGAACACCGCAGTTAAGCGTACTTGGGCGAGAGTAGTACTAATATTGGTGACCCCCAGGGAAGTCCTCGTGTTGCACCCCTTTTGCCCCTTTTTTTTCCTTTATGTTTTTTTTTTCACCCTTCCCCGGACAACTTGTCCGGTTTTTAGCCCACTGAATTGCCTTTGCCTCATTTTCGACAAATTTCTCCCTTTTAAACCATTTTCAAATTATCCTATTCCATTCAATTTCATTTTTTTTCCCCGTCTACAGCTTAATACAATAAAGTCGCGGTTAATCTTTGTGTGCGGTCATACCAGCACTAACGGACCGGATCCTATCAGAACTCCGCAGTTAAGCGTGCTTGGGCGAGAGTAGTACTAGGATGGGTGACCCCCTGGTAAGTCCTCGTGTTCCACCCCTTTTAGCCCTTTTTTTTCGTTTTTTTTTTTTCACCCTTCCCGGGACAACCTGTCCAGTTTTTAGCACGTTAAATCGTCTTCGCCTCCTTTTCGACAAATTTCTCCCTACTAAACCATTTCTTGATTATCCTATTCCATTCAATTTCATTTTTTTTTCGTGTACTGCTTAAAACAATAAAGTGGTGGTTAATCTTCGGGTCGGATCATACCAGCACTAACGCACCGGATCCCATCAGAACTCCGTTGTTAAGCGTGCTTGGGTGAGAGTAGTACTAGGATGGGTGACCCCCTGGGAAGTCCTCGTGATGCACCCTTTTGCACCTTTTTTTTCCTTTTCTTTTTTTTTTTCACCCTTCCTAGGACAATCTGTCCGGTGTTTTGCCCATTCAATTGCCATCGCCCATTTTTCGGCAAATTTCTCCCTTTTAAACCATTTCTTGATTACCCTATTCCATTCAATTTCTTTTTTTTTTTCCCGTCTACTGCTTAAAACAATAAAGTCGCGGTTATTCTTCGGGTGCGATCATACCAGCACTAATGCACCGGATCCCATCAGAACTCCGCAGTTAAGCATGCCTGGGCAAGAGTAGTACTAGGATGGGTGACGCCCTGGGAAGTCCTCGTGTTTCACCCCTTTTGCCCCTTTTTTTTCTTCTTTTTTTTTTCAAACCTTCCCCAGACAACCTGTCCTGTTTTTAGCCCATTCAATCGCCTTCGCCTCCATTTCGACAAATTTCTCCCTTTTAAACCATTTCCAGATTATCCTATTCCATTCAATTTCTTTTTTTTTCCGTCTACTGCTGAAAACAATAAAGTCGCAGTTAATCCGCGGGTGCGATCATACCAGCAGTAATGCACCAGATCCCATCAGAACTCCGCAGTTAAGCATGCTTGGGCAAGAGTAGTACTAGAATGGGTGACGCCCTGGGAAGTCCTCGTGTTGCACCCCTTTGGCCCCTTTTTTTTCCCTTTTTTTTTTCTCCCTTCCCGGTAGAACCTGTCCGGTTTTTAGCCCATTCAATCACCTTCGCCTCCATTTCGAAAAATTTCTCCCTTTTAAACCATTTACTGATTATCCTATTCCATTCAATTTCTTTTTTTTTTTCCGTCTACTACTTAAAACAATAATGTCTCGGTTAATCTTCAGGGGCGATCATACCAGCATTAATGCACCGGATCCCATCAAAACTCCGCAGTTAAGCATGCTTGGGCAAGAGTAGTACTGGATGGGTGACGCCCTGGGAAGTGCTCGTGTTGCACCCCTTTTGCCGATTTTTTTTCCTTTTTTTTTCACCCTTCCCGGGACAACCTGTCCAGTTTTTAGCCCATTCAATCGCCTTCGCCTCCTTTTCGACAAATATCTCCCTTTTAAACCATTTCCTAATTATCCTATTCCATTCAATTTCATTTTTTTTTCCGTCTACTGCTTAAAACAATAAAGTCGCGGTTAATCTTCGAGTGGGATCATACCAGCACTAATGCACCGGATACCATCAAAACTCCGCTGTTAAGCGTGCTTGGGCGAGAGTAGTACTTGGATGGGTGACCCCCTGGGAAGTCCTCGTGTTGCACCCCTTTTGTCGCTTTTTTTTCCTTTTTTTTTTTTCACCCTTCCCCGAACAACCTGTCCAGTTTCTAGCCCATTCAGTAGCCTTTGCCTGATTTTCGGCAAATTTCTCCCTTTTAAACCATTTTCAGATTATCCTATTCCATTCAATTTTATTTTTTTTTCCCGTCTACTGCTTAATACAATAAAGTCGCGATTAATCTTTGTGTGCGGTCATACCAGCACAAATGCACCGGATCCCATCAAAACTCCGCAGTTAAGCGTGCTTGGGCGAGAGTAGTACTAGGATGGGTGACCCCCTGGGAAGTCCTCGTGATGCACCCCTTTTGCCCCTTCTTTTTTCTTTTTCTTTTTTTCACCCTTCTCGGGACAACGTGTCCGGTGTTTTGCCCATTCAATCGCCCTCGCCACTTTTTCGACAAATTTCTCCCTTTTTAAACATTTGCAAATTATCCTATTCCATTTAATTTCATTTTTTTTTCCGTCTACTGCTTAAAACAATAAAATCGCGGTTAATCTTCGGGTGCGATCATATCAGCACTAATGCACCGGATCCCGTCAGAACTCGGCAATTAAGCGTGCTAGGGCGACAGTAGTACTAGGATGGGTGACCCCCTGGGAAGTCCTCGTGTTGCACCCCTTTTGCCGTTTTTTTTCTTTTTTTCACCCTTCCCGGGACAACCTGTCCGGTTTTTAGCCCAGTCAATCGCCTTCACCTCTTTTTCGACAAATTCTTCCTTTTTAAACAATTTCCAGATTATCCTATTCCATTCAATTTCATTTTTTTTTATTCCCGTCTACTGCTTAAAACAATAAAGTCGCGGTTAATCTTCGGGTGTGATCATACTAACACTGTTACCCCGGATCCCATCAGAACTCCGCAGTTAAGCGTGCTTAGGCGAGAGTAGTACTAGCATGGGTAACCCCCCGGGAAGTCCTCGTGTTCCACCCCTTTTGCCCCTTTTTTTTTCTTTTTTTTTTTTTAAACCTTCCCCGGACAACCTGTCCGGTTTTTAGCCCATTCAATTGCCTTCGCCTCATTTTCGACAAATTTCTCCCTTTTAAACCATTTCCAGATTATCCTATTCCATTCAATTTCATTTTATTTTCCGTCTACGGTTGAAAAAAATAAAGTCGCGGTTAATCTTTGGGTGCGATCATACCAGCACTAATGCAGCGGATCCCATCAGAACTCCGCAGTTAAGCGTGCTTGGACTAGAGTAGTACTAGGATGGTGGCGAGAGTACTAGGATGGGTGACCCATTGGGAAGTCCTCGTGTGGCACCCCTTTTGCCCCTTTTTTTTCATTTTTTTTTTTCACCCTTCCCGGAAAAATCTGTCTAGTTTTTAGCCCATTCAATCGCCTTCGCCTCCTTTTCAACAAATTTCTCCCTTTTAAACCATTTCCTGATTATCCTATTCCATTCAATTTCAATTTTTTTTTCCGTCTACAACTTACAACAATAAAGTCGCGGTTAATCTTCGGGTGCAATTATACCAGCACTAATGCACCGGATCCCATCAGAATTCCGCAGTTAAGCGTGCTTGGGCGAGAGTAGTACTAGGATGGGTGACCCCCGGGGAAGTCCTCGTGCTGCACCCCTTTTGCGACTTTTTTTCCTTTTTTTTTCACACTTTTCCGGACAACCTGTCCGATTTTTAGCCCATTCAATCGCCTTCGTCTTCTTTTCGACAAATTCCTTCCTTTTAAACCATTTCCAGATTATCCTATTCCATTCAATTTCATTTTTTTTTCCGTCTACTGCTTAAAACAATAAAGTCACGGTTAATCTTTGGATGCGATCATACCAGCACTAATGCACCGGATCCCATCAGAACTCCGCAGTTAAGCATGCTTGGGCAAGAGTAGTACTACGATGGGTGACACCCTGGGAAGTCCTCGTGTTGCACCCCTTTGGCCCCTTTTTTTTCCTTTTTTTTTTCTCCCTTCCCGGGACAACCTGTCCGGTTTTTAGCCCTTCCAATCGCCTTCGCCTCATTTTCGACAAATTTCTCCCTTTTAAACCATTTCCAGATTATCCTATTTCATTAAATTTCATTTTTTTATTCCCCTCTACTGCTTAAAACAATAAAGTCGCAGCTAATCTTCAGGTGTGATCATACTAGCACTAATGCACCGGATCCCATCAGAACTCCGCGGTTAAGCGTGCTTGGCCGAGAGTAGTACTAGGATGGGTGACCCCCGGGGAAGTCCTCGTGTTGCACCCCTTTTGCCCCTTTTTTTTTTCCTTTTTTTTTTAAATCCTTCCCCGGACAACCTGTCCGGTGTTTAGCCCATTCAATCGCCTTCGCCTCCTTTTCGACAAATTTCTCACATTTAAACCATTTCCAGATTATCCTATTCCATTCAATTTCTTTTTTTTTTCCTTCTACTGCTGAAAACATTAAAGTTGCGGCTAATCTTCGGGTGCGATCATACCAGCACTAAGGCATCGGATCCCATCAGAACTCCGCAGTTAAGCGTGCTTGGGCTAGAGTAGTACTAGGATGGTAGCGAGAGTCCTAGGATGGGTGACCCCCTGGGAGGTCCTCGTGTGGCACCCTTTTTGCCCCTTTTTTTTTCTTTTTTTTTTTTCACCCATCCCGGGACAACCTGTCCAGTTTTTAGCCCATTCAATCGCCTTCGCCTCCTTTTCGACAAATTTCTCGCGTTTAAACCATTTCCCGATTATCCTATTCCATTCAATTTCATTTTTTTTTCGTCTACTGCTCAAAACAATAGAGTCTCGGTTAATCTTCGGGTGCAATCATACCAGCACTAATGCGCCGGATCCCTTCAGAACTCCGCAGTTAAGCAAGCTTGGGCAAGAGTAGTACTAGGATGGGTGACGCCTTGGGAAGTCCTCGTGTTGCTCCCCTTTTGCCCCTTTTTTTTCTTTTTTTTTTCACCCTTCCCGGGACAACCTGTCCGGTTTTTAGCCCATTCAAACGCCTTCACCTCCTTTTCGACAAATTTCTCCCTTTTAAACCATTTCCAGATTATCCTATTCCATTCAATTTCGTTTTTTTTTTCTGTCTACTGCTTAAAACAATAAAGTCGCGGTTAATCTTCAGGTGCTATCATACCAGCACTAATGTTCTGAATCCCATCAGAACTCCGCAGTTAAGCGTGCTTGGGCTAGAGTAGTACTAGGATGGTGGCAAGAGTACTAGGATGGGTGACCCCCTAGGAAGTCCTCGTGTTCCACTCCTTCTGGCCCTTTTTTTTCATTTTTTTCCTGTCACCCTTCCCGGGACAACCTGTCCAGTTTTTAGCACATTAAATCGGCTTCGCCTCCTTTTCGACAATTTTCTCCCTTTTAAACCATTTCTTGATTAGCCTGTTCCACTCAATTTCATTTTTTTTTTCGTGTACTCCTTAAAACAATAAAGTCGCGGTTAATCTTCGGGTTGGATCTTACCAGCACTAATGCACCGAATCCCTTCAGAACACCGCCGTTAAGCGTGCTTGTTGTAGAGTAGTATAAGGATGGTGGCGAGAGTACTAGGATGGGTGACGCCTTGGGAAGTCCTCGTGTGCCACCCCTATTGCCCCTTTCTTTTTCCTTTTTTTTTTTCACCCTTCCCGGGACAACCTGTCCAGTTTTTAGTTCATTCAATCGCCTTCGCCTCTTTTTCGACAAATTTCTCCCTTTTAAACGATTTCCTGATTATCCTATTCCATTCAATTTCATTTTTTTTCCCGGTCCACTGCTTAAAACAATAAAGTCGGGGTTAATCTTCGAGTGTGATCATACCTACACTAATGCACCGGATCCCATCAGGACTCCGCAGTTAAGCGTGCTTGGGCGAGAGTAGTGCTAGGATGGGTGAGCCCCTAGGAAGTCCTCGTGCTGCACCCCTTTCGCCACTTTTTTTCGTTTTTTTTTTTCACCCTTCCCCGGACAACCTATTCGGTTTTTAGCCATGCAATCGCCTTCGCCTTCTTTTCGACAAATTTCTCTTTTTTAAACCATTTCCAGATTATCCTTTTCCATTCAACTTCATTTTTTTTTTTCGTCTACTGCTTAAAACAATAAAGTCGCGGTTAATCTTCGGGTGCGACCATACCAGCACTAATGCACCGGATCCCATCAGAACTCCGCAGTTAAGCATGCTTGCGCAAGAGTATTACTAGGATGGGTGACGCCCTGGGAAGTCCTCGTGTTGGACCCGTTTTGCCCCGTTTTTTTCCTTGTTTTTTTTTCACCCTTCCCGGGACAACCTGTCCGGTTTTTAGCCCATTCAATCGCCTTCGCCTCCTTTTCGACAAATTTCTCCCTTTTAAACCATTTCCAGATTATCCTATTCCATTCAATTTCTATTTTTTTTTCTGTCCACTACTTAAAACAATATAGTCGTGGTTAATCTTCGGTTGCGATCATACCAGCACTAATGCACCGGATCCCATCAGAACACCACAGTGAAACGTGCTAGGGCGTGAGTAGTACTATTATGGGTGACCCCCTGGTAAGTTCTCGTGTTGCACCCCTTTTGCCCCATTTTTTTTCCTTTTTTTTTTTCACCCTTCCCCGGACAAACTGTCCGATTTTTAGCTTATTCAATCGCCTTCGCCTCCTTTTCGACGAATTTCTCCCTTCTAAACCATTTACAGATTATCCAATTCCATTCAATTTAATTTTTTTTTTTCTGTCTACTGCTTAAAACAATAAAGTCGCGGTTAATCTTCGGGTGCGATCATACCAGCACAAATGCACCGGATCCCATCAGAACACCGCAGTGAAACGTGCTAGGGCGTGAGTAGTACTATTATTGGTGACCCCCTGGTAAGTCCTCGTGTTGCACCCCTTTTGCCCCGTTTTTTTTCCTTTTTTTTTTTCACCCTTCCCCGGACAACCTGTCCGGTTTTTAGCCCATTCAATCGCCTTTGCCTCCTTTTCGACAAATTTCTCACTTTTAAACCATTTCCATATTATCCGATTCCATTCAATTTCATTTTTTTTTTTGCCGACTACTACTTAAAACAACAAAGTCACGGTTACTCTTCGGGTGCGATCATACCAGCACAAATGCACCAGATCCCATCAGAACACCGCTGTTAAGTGTGCTTGGGCAAGAGTAGTACTAATATAGATGACCCCCTGGAAGTCCTCGTGTTGCACCTCTTTTGCCCCTTTTTTTTCCATTTTTTTTTCACCCTTCCCCGGACAAACTGTCCGATTTTTAGCTTATTCAATCGCCTTCGCCTCCTTTTCGACGAATTTCTCCCTTCTAAACCATTTACAGATTATCCAATTCCATTCAATTTAATTTTTTTTTCTGTCTACTGCTTAAAACAATAAAGTCGCGGTTAATCTTCGGGTGCGATCATACCGGCACTAATGCACCGGGTCCCATCAGAACTCCACGGTTAAGCGTGCTTGGGCGTGCCTGGGCGAGAGTAGTACTAGGATTGGAGACCCCCTGGGAGGTCCTCGTGTTGCACCCTATTCGCCCCTTTTTTCTCTTTTTTTTTCACATTTCCCCGGAAAACCTGTCCCGTTTTTAGCCCATTCAATCACCTTCGCCCCATTTTCGACAAATTTCTCCCATTTAAACCATTTTCAGATTATGCTATTCCATTCAATTTTATTTATTTTCTTCTATCCACTGCTTAAAACAATAAAGTCGCGGTTAATCATCGGGTGCGATCATACCAGCCCTAATGCACTGGATCCCATCAGAACTCCGCGGATAAGCGTGCTTGGACGGAGTAGTGCTAGGATGGGTGACCCCCAAGGAAGCCCTCATGTTGCACCCCTTTTGCCTCTTTTTTTTCTTTTTTTTTTTTTCACCATTCCCCGGGCAACCTGTCCGGTTTTTAGCCCATTCAATCACATTCGCCTCCTTTTCGGCAAATTTCTCCCTTTTAAACCATTTCCAGATTATCCTATTCCATTCAATTTCATTTGTTTTTAATCCCATTTACAGCTTAAAACAATAAAGTCGCAGTTAATCTTCGAGTGCGATCATACTAGCACTAATGCACCAAATCCCATCAGAACTCTGCGGTTAAGCGTGCTTGGGCGAGAGTAGTACTAGCATGGGTGACCACCTGGGAAGTCCTCGTGTTGCACCCCTTTTGCCCCTTTTTTTTTCCTTTTTTTTTTTCACCCTTCCCCAGACAACCTGTCCAGTTTTTAGCCCATTTAATTTCCTTTGCCTCCTATTCGACAAATTTCTCCATTTTAAACCATTTCCAGAATATCCTATTTCATTCCATTCAATTTCATTTTTTTTTTCCGTCTACAGCTTAAAACAATAAAGTTGCGGTTAATCTTCAGGTGCGATCATACCAGCACTAATGCATCGGATCCCATCTGAACTCCGCAGTTAAGCGTGCTTGGGCTAGAGTAGTACTAGGATGGTGGCGAGAGTACTAGATGGGTGACCTCCTGGGAAGTCCTCGTGTTGCACCCCTTTTGCCCCTTTTTTTTGCACCCCTTTTGCCCCTTTTTTTTTTTTTTTTTTTTTTCATCCTTCCCCAGACAACCTGTCCGGTTTTTAGCCATTCAATCGCCTTCGCCTTCTTTTCGTCAAATTTCCCTCTTTTAAACCATTTCCAGATTATCCTATTCCATTCAACTTCATTTTTTTTTCCGTCTACTGCTTAAAACAATAAAGTCGCGGTTAATCTTCAGGTGCGATCATACCAACACTAATGCACCGGATCCCATCAGAACTCCGCAGTTAAGCATGCTTGGGCAAGAGTAGTACTAGAATGGGTGACACCCTAGGAAGTCCTCGTGTTGCACCCGTTTTGCCCCTTTTTTTTTTCCACCTTTCCCGGGACAACCTGTCCGGTTTTTAGCACATTCAATCGCCTTCGCCTCCCTCTCGACAAATTTCTCCCTTTTAAACCATTTCCAGATTATCCTATTCCATTCAATTTCATTTTTTTTTTCTGTCTACTGCTTAAAACAATAAAGTCGTCGTTAATCTTCGGGAGCGATCATACCAGCACTAATGCACCGGATCCCATCAGAAGACAGTAGTTAAGCGTGCTTGGGCGTGAGTAGTACTAATATGGGTGACCCCCTGGTAAGTCCTCGTGTTGCACCCCTTTTGCCTCTTTTTTTTCATTTTTTTCTTTTCACCCTTCCCCGGACAACCTGTCCGGTTTTTAGCCCATTCAATCGCCTTCGCCTCCTTTTCGATAAATTTCTCGCTTTTAAACCATTTCTAGAATATCCGATTCCATTCAATTTCATTTTTTTTTTGCCGTCTACTGCTTAAAACAATAAAGTCGCGGTTAATCTTCGGGTGCGATCATACCTGCACTAATGCACCGGATCCCATCAGAACACCGCTGTTAAGCGTGCTTGTGCGAGAGTAGTACTAATATGGATGACCCCCTGGAAGTCCTCGTGTTGCACCCCTTTTGCCCTTTTTTTTTCCTTTTTTTTTTCACCCATCCCCGGACAAACTGTCCGGTTTTTAGCCCATTCAATCGCCTTCGCCTCCTTTTCGACGAATTTCTCCCTTTCAAACCATTTGCAGATTATCCGATTCCATTCAATTTCATTTTTTTTTCCGTCTACTGCTTAAAACAATAAAGTCACGGTTAATCTTCGGGTGCAATCATACCGGCACTAATGCACCAACGTGCTTGGGCAAGAGTAGTACTAGGATTGGTGACCCCCTGGGAAGTCCTCGTGTTGCACCCCTTTCGCCACTTTTTTTTCGTTTTTTTTTTTCACACTTCCCCGGACAACCTGTCCCGTTTTTATCCCATTCAATCGCCTTCGCCTCATTTTCGACAAATTTCTCCCATTTAAACCATTTCCAAATTGTCCTATTCCATTCAACTTCTTCTTTTTTTTCTATCCAATGCTTAAAACAATAAAATCGCGGTTAATCTTCGGGTGCGATCATATCAGCCCGAATGCACCGGATCCCATCAGAACTCCACGGATAAGTGTGCTTGGGTGGAGTAGTACTCGGATGGGTGACCCCGAAGGAAGTCCTCGTGTTGCACCCCGTTTGCCCCTTTTTTTTCCTTTTTTTTTTTCGCCCTTCGCCGGACAACCTGTCCGGTTTTTAGCCCATTCAATCGCGTTCGCCTCCTTTTCGACAAATTTCTCCCTTTTAAACCATTTCCGGATTATCCTATTCCAGTCAATTTCATTTTTTTTAATCCCGTCTACTGCTTAAAACAATAAAGTCACAGTTAATCTTCGAGTGCGATCATACTGGCACCAATGCACCGGATCCTATCAGAACGCCGTGGTTAAGCGTGCTTGGGCGAGAGTAGTACTAGGGTGGGTGACCACCTAGGAAGTCCTCGTGTTGCCCCCCATTTGCCCCTTTTTTTCCTTTTTTTTTTTTTTACCCTTCCCCAGACAACCTGTCCAGTTTTTAGCCCATTCAATCGCCTTCGCCTCCTTTTCAACAAATTTCTCCATTTTAAACCATTTCCAGATTATCCTATTCCATTCCATTCAATTTCATTTTTTTTTCTGTCTACAGGTTAAAACAATAAAGTCGCGGTTAATCTTCGGGTGCGATCATATCAGCCCGAATGCACCGGATCCCATCAGGACTCCACGGATAAGCGTGCTTGGGTGGAGTAGTACTCGAATGGGTGACCCCGAAGGAATTCCTCGTGTTGCACCCCGTTTGCCCCTTTTTTTTCCTTTTTTTTTTCCGCCCTTCACCGGACAACCTGTCCAGTTTTTAGCCCATTCAATCGCGTTCGCCTCCTTTTCGACAAATTTCTCCCTTTTAAACCATTTCCGGATTATCCTATTCCATTCAATTTCATTTTTTTTAATCCCGTCTACTGCTTAAAACAATAAAGTCACAGTTAATCTTCGAGTGCGATCATACTGGCACCAATGCACCGGATCCCATCAGAACGCCGTGGTTAAGCGTGCTTGGGCGAGAGTAGTACTAGGGTGGGTGACCACCTAGGAAGTCCTCGTGTTGCCCCCCATTTCCCCTTTTTTTCCTTTTTTTTTTTTTTACCCTTCCCCAGACAACCTGTCCAGTTTTTAGCCCATTCAATCGCCTTCGCCTCCTTTTCAACAAATTTCTCCATTTTAAACCATTTCCAGATTATCCTATTCCATTCCATTCAATTTCATTTTTTTTTCTGTCTACAGGTTAAAACAATAAAGTCGCGGTTAATCTTCAGGTGCGATCATATCAGCACTAATGCACCGGTGTAGACGTCCCCGAACGCCCCGGGAGGGTGAGTCCCGTTCTGTTCATTTGGGGTTACTACAGTTCGGACTCGATTTGTGTTACGGTTCTAAATCTGAACCAAAGAGTCCAAATCTGGCAAATCGTTTTGAGAAACAGATTTTTGAAAAAGTAGTGCCAAACATGGACTGCTTTGCCAGATACAGAGTCGCCACCTAAATATTTTTTTTATGGGATAATTTAGGAAACCCTGACTCGGTGCCGAAGGCCACATGTCCGTCACACCGGAGTTGTCTCGGCTCGGAGCTTGGGTACGATCGGGGAAGGTCAGCTATGAGCACCCCTTTCGCCCGGTCCGAAGACCGGCCTCTACTAACCGTGATATCCGTATTTGAAAACTTTATGTGTTCTTATTCAATTATTAGCCTAGAATTACTATGTTATACGCGCAGGCAAACAAGTATAGACTAGATTGCCTAATTTGGAAACAAGCATTGCATATCCGTTTGTTTTGGAAAATGCTTTGGATTTACTACTCGCAAGTAGGCAAAAACACAGATTTTCAATGAGTTCTTCCAACTCAAAACAATCCAAACCTTCACCCACAGGCATTCCAAGCAGTTTATAAACCATAAGCATCTAGCCACATGTTAAGCATGCTGACATGGCAACAATTCACACTCATGCGATATGCTAAAGCGAAATACTTACATCGTAACTCCGTGCCAAAACAAAGAACTCGTTAGGCAAACATGCATGATCCAAGTCCATGTTAAGTGCCTAATGCATCGCATACAAAGTGTTGCTAGAATAGGCTCGGCTTATCCTAAACATGGAATGTGAGAAATGCTAACTATCACATATTCAGTTTAGAATTTGAAGTACAAAATGCAGTTAGCGTGATGCACCGACCTAATACATGTAGCATAAATGCATGAATGCACGCATGAGTAAGCATAAGGTATGCTAATTTCAAAACGTGCCCTATCTACCATCATAAGAGGTAATAAAAAGGGAAAGAAAGACGTGAAGTTGGAAGACATACACACACTCCACGCACACTTATTACATCTTTACCTCACTCGGAGGGATCGAATAAATATTACAGATTAATTAACTACGCAAGCTAATTAATATTACAAATTAAATTTAATTAACGAATTAAATAAACTAAGAAAAGCAGATAAAATTGCCTCGGGAAACGCGCCGCCATGTGCAAGCTGCCTCCTGTTTTCTTTCCTCTGCTCCTCTGGAGGCTGTCAAACTCCAGGACTGCATCCCTGGACACTGGGGAGTGCCACCGGCTGAGTGGAACTTACCCACCGGCAACGGTGTGTGGCCATCGGCACAAAATGGAGTTGTCGGCAGAGGAAAGATTGCCGGCCGGCACCTTACACTGCCGGTCGGCAAAGAAAGCCTGCAGAACCTGCAACTCACAGCAACAGAGAGCAAAACAAAGCATGGCAGCACAATTCAAGGCATGTATGCACCAACCATGTCCCTTATCATGATAATGACTCAAAGGGGCATGTGCCTCGATTCTCGGACCACCAATTACGCATTTCCATGCATGATGGCCCAAAGAACCAAGTATGCAACTTTGATTTCAAATGCCTTCGCCTCCTTTTCGACAAATTTCTCCATTTTAAACCATTTCCAGATTATCCTATTTCATTCAATTTCATTTTTTTTTCCTTCTACTGCATGAAACAATAAAGACGCGGTTAATCTTCGGGTGTGACCATACCAGCACTATTGCACCGGATCCCATCAGAAGACCGCAGTTAAGCGTGCTTGGGCAAGAGAAGTACTAGGATGGGTGACCCGCTGGGAAGTCCTCGTGTTGCACCCCTTTTGCCTTTTTTTTGTCCTTTTTTTTTTTTCACCCTTCCCCGGACAATCTACCCGGTTTTTAGCCAATTCAATCGCCTTCGCCTCCTTTTCAATAAATTTCTCCATTTTTAACCATTTGCAGATTATCTTATTCCATTCAATTTCATTTTTTTTCCGTCTACTGCTTATAACAATAAAGTCGCTGTTAATCTTCGGGTGCGATCATACCAGCATTAATGCACTGGAGCCCATCAGAACTCCGCAGTTAAGCGTGCTTGGGCGAGAGTAGTACTAGGATGGGTGACCCCGTGGGAAGTCCTCGTGTTGCACCCCTTTCACCGTTTTTTTTTTCCTTTTTTTTTTTCACTCTTCCCCGAACAACCTGTCTAGTTTTTAGCCCATTCAATCGCCTTTGTCGTTTTTTTTTCCTTTTTTTTTTTCAAACTTCCCCGGATAACCTGTCTAGTTTTTAGCCCATTCAATCGCCTTTGTCTCATTTTCGGCTAATTTCTCCATTTTAAACCATTTCCGGATTATCCTATTCCATTCAATTTCCCTTTTTTTTTTCCATCTGCTGCTTAAAAGAATAAAGTCGTGGTTAATCTTCGGGTGCGATCATACCAGGACTAATGCACCGGATCTCATCGGATCTCTGCGGTTAAGCGTGCTTGGGCGAGAGTAGTACTAGGATGGGTGACCCCCTGGGAAGTCCTCGTGTTGCACATCTTTTGCCCATTTTTTTTCCTTTTTTTTTTTTCACCCTTCCCCGAACAACCTGTCCGTTTTTCTGCCCATTCAATCGCCTTCACCTCATTTTCGATAACTTTATCCCTTTTAAACAAATTCCAGATTATCCTCTTCCATTCAATTTCGTTTTTTTTTCCCGTCTACTGGTTAAAAAAATAAAGTCACGGTTAATCTTCGGGTGCGATCATACCAGCACTAATGCACCGGATCCAGTCAGAACTCCGCAGTTAAGCGTGCTTGAGCGAGAGTAGTACTAGGATGGGTGACCCCCTGGGAAGTCTTCGTCTTGCACCCCTTTTGCCCCTTTTTTTTCCTTTTATTTTTTTCACCCTTCCCCGGACAACCTGTCCGGTTTTTAGCCCATTCAATCGCCTTTGCCTCTTTTTCGACAAATTTCTCTATTTTAAACCATTTCCAGATTATCCTATTCCATTCAATTTCATTTTTTTTTTCCGTCCACTGCTTAAAACGATAAAGTCGTGGTTATTCTTCGGGTGCGATCATACTAGCAGTAATGCACCGGATCCTCTCAGAACTACGAGGTTAAGCGTGCTTGGGCGAAGTAGTATTAGAATGGGTGACCCCCTAGGAAGTCCTGGTGATGCACCCCTTTTGCCCCTTTTTTTTCCTTTTTTTTTTGTCACCCTTCCCCGGACAACCTGTCCGGTTTTTAGCCCATTCAATCGCCTTCGCCTCGTTTTCGACAAATTTCTCCCTTTTAAATCATTTCCAGATTATCCTACTCCATTCAATTTCATTTTTTTTTCCGTCTACTGGTTAAAAGAATAAAGTCGCGGTTAATCTTCGGGTGCGATCATACCAGCACTAATGCACCGGATCCCGTCAGCACTACGCCGTTAAGCGTGCTTGAGCGAGAGTAGTACTAGGATGGGTGACCCCCTGGGAAGTCCTTGTCTTGCACCCCTTTTGCCCTTTTTTTTCTTTTTATTTTTTTCACCCTTCCCCGGACAACCTGTCCGGTTTTTAGCCCATTGAATCGCCTTCACCTCTTTTTCGACAAATTTCACCCTTTTAAACCATTTCCAGATTATCCTATTCCATTCAATTTCATTTTTTTTTTCTGTCCACTGCTTAAAACGATAAAGTCGTGGTTAATCTTCAGGTGAGATCATACCAGCAGTAATGCACCGGATCCCATCAGAACTCCGCAGTTAAGCGTGCTTGGGCGAGAGTAGTACTAGATTGGGTGAGTCCCAGGGAAGTCGTCGTGCTGCACGCCTTTTGCCCCTTTTTTTTCCTTTTTTTTTTCACCCTTCCCCGGACAACCTGTCTGGTTTTTGGCCCATTCAATCGCCTTCGCCTCCTTTTCGACAAATTTCTCCCTTCTAAATCATTTCCAAATTATCCGATTCCATTCAATTTTAATTTTTTTCCCGTCTATTGCTTAAAACAATAAACTCGCGGTTAATATTCGGGTGCGATCATACCAGCACTAATGCACCGGATCCCATCAGAACTCCGCAGTTAAGCGTGCTTCGGCGAGAGTAATACTAGATTGGGTGAGTCCCAGGGAAGTCGTCGTGCTGCACGCCTTTTGCCCCTTTTTTTTCCTTTTTTTTTTCACCCTTCCCCGGACAACCTGTCTGGTTTTTGGCCCATTCAATCGCCTTCGCCTCCTTTTCGACAAATTTCTCCCTTTTAAACCATTTCCAGATTATCCTATTCCATTTAATTTAATATTTTTTTCCCACCTACTGCTTAAAGCAATAAAGTCGCGGTTAATCTTCGGGTGCGATCATACTAGCACTAATGCACCGGATCCCATCAGAACACCGCAGTTAAGCGTGCTTGGGCGAGAGTAATACTAATATGGGTGACCCCCTGGGAAGTCCTCGTGTTGCACCCCTTTTGCCCCTTTTTTTTCCTTTGACCCTTCCCCGGACAACCTGTCCGGTTTTTAGCCCATTCAATCGCCTTCGCCTCCTTTTCGACAAATTTCTCCCTTCTAAATCATTTCCAAATTATCCGATTCCATTCAATTTTAATTTTTTTCCCGTCTATTGCTTAAAACAATAAACTCGCGGTTAATATTCGGGTGCGATCATACCAGCACTAATGCACCGGATCCCATCAGAACTCCGCGGTTAATCGTGCTTGGGCGAAGTAGTATTAGGATGGGTGACCCCCTGGGAAGTCCTCGTGCTGCACCCCTTTTGCTCATTTTTTTTCCATTTTTTTTTCATCCTTCCCCGGACAACCTGTCCGGTTTTTAGCCCATTCAATCGCCTTCGCCTCCTTTTCGACAAATTTCTCCCTTTTAAACCATTTCCAGATTATCCTATTCCATTCAAATTCATTTTTTTTTCCGTCCACTGCTTAAAACGAAAAAGTCGTGGTTAATCTTCGGGTGCGATCATACCAGTAGTAATGCACCGGATCCCATCAGAACTCCGCAGTTAAGCGTGCTTGGGTGAGAGTAGTACTAGGTTGGGTGAGTCCCTGGGAATTCTTCGTGTTGCATGCCTTTTGCCCCTTTTTTTTCCTTTTTTTTTTTCTCCCTTCCCCGGACAACCTGTCTGGTTTTTAGCCCATTCAATCGCCTTCGCCGCCTTTTCGACAAATTTCTCCCTTTTAAACCATTTCCAGATTATCCTATTACATTCAATTTAAATTTTTTTTTCCGTCTACTGCTTAAAACAATAAAGTCGCGGATAATCTTCGGGTGCGATCATACTAGCACTAATGCACTGGATCCGATCAGAACACCGCAGTTAAGCGTGCTTGGGCGAGAGTAGTACTAATATGGGTGACCCCCTGGGAAGTCCTCGTGTTGCACCCCTTTTGCCCCTTTTCTTTCCTTTTTTGTTTTTGACCCTTCCCCGGATAACCTGTCCGGTTTTTAGCCCGTTCAATCACCGTTCCCTCCTTTTCGACAAATTTCTCCGTTTTAAACCATTTCCAGATTATCCGATTCCTTTCAATTTCAATTTTTTTTTCCCGTCTACTGCTTAAAACAATAAAGTCGCGGTTAATATTCGGGTGCAATCATACCAAACATTCCGTCTGCGGATCCCATCAGAACTTCGCAGTTAAGCGTGCTTGGGCGAGAGTAGTACTACGTTGGGTGAGTCCCTGGGAAGTCTTCGTGCTGCATGCCTTTTGCCCCCTTTTTTTCCTTTTTTTTTTTTTCACCCTTCCCCGGACAACCTGTCCGGTTTTTAGCCCATTCAATCGCCTTCGGCTCCTTTTCGACAAATTTCTCCCTTTTAAACAATTTCCAGATTATCCTATTCCATTCAAATTTTTTTTTCCGTCTACTGCTTAAAACAATAAAGTCGCGGTTAATCTTCGGGTGCGATCATACCAACACTAATGCACCGGATCCCATCAGAACACCGCAGTTAAGCATGCTTGGGTGAGAGTAGTACTAATATGGGTGACCCCCTAGGAAGTCCTCGTGTTGCACCCCTATTGCCCTTTTTTTTTCCTTTTTCTTTTTTCACCCTTCCCCGGACAACCTGTCCGGTTTTTAGCCCATTCAATCGCCTTCGGCTCCTTTTCAACAAATTTCTCCCTTTTAAACAATTTCCAGATTATCCTAGTCCATTCAATTTTTTTTTCCCGTCTACTGCTTAAAACAATAAAGTCGCGGTTAATCTTCGGGTGCGATCATACCAACACTAATGCACCGGATCCCATCAAAACACCGCAGTTAAGCATGCTTGGGTGAGAGTAGTACTAATATGGGTGATCCCCTAGGAAGTCCTCGTGTTGCACCCCTATTGCCCTTTTTTTTTTCCTTTTTCTTTTTTCACCCTTCCCCGGACAACCTGTCCGGTTTTTAGCCCATTTCATCGTCTTCGCCTCCTTTTCAACAAATTTCTTCCTTTTAAACCATTTCCAGAATGTCCGATTCCATTCAATTTCATTTTTTTATCCCATCTACTGCTTAAAACAATAAAGTCGCGGTTAATCTTCGGGTTCGATCATACTACAACTAATGCACCGGATCCCATCAGAACTCCGTAGTTAAGGGTGCTCGGGCGAGAGTAGTACTAGGATGGGTGACCCCCTGGGAAGTCCTCGTCTCGCACCCCTTTCGCCCCCTTTTTTTTCCTTTTTTTTTTTACATTTCCCCGGACGACCTATCCGGTTTTTAGCCCATTCAATCACCTTCGCCTCATTTTCGACAAATTTCTCCCATTTAAACCATTTCCAGATTATCCTATTCTATTCAATTTCATTTTTTTTCCATCTACTGCTTAAAACAACGAAGTCGCGGTTAATCTTCGGGTGCGATCATACCAGCACTAATGCACCGGATCCCATCAGAACTCCGCGGTTAAGCATGCTTGGCCGAAGTAGCATTTGGATGGGTGACCCCCTGGGAAGTCCTCGTGCTGCACCCCTTTTGGCCCTTTTATTCCTTTTTTTTATTCACCCTTCCCCGAACAACCTGTCCGGTTTTTAGCCCATTCAATCGCCTTCGCCTCCTTTTTGACAAATTTCTTCCTTTTAAACCATTTCCAGATTATCCTATTCCATTCAATTTCATTTTTTTTTTCCGCCCACTCCTTAAAATGATAAAGTCGTGGTTAATCTTCGAGGGCGATCATACTAGCAGTAATGCACTGGATCCCATCAAAACTCCGCAGTTAAGCGTGCTTGGGCGAGAGTAGTACTACGTTGGGTGAGTCCCTGGGAAGTCTTCGTGCTGCATGCCTTTTGCCCCCTTTTTTTCCTTTTTTTTTTTTCACCCTTCCCCGGACAACCTGTCTGGTTTTTAGCCCATTCAATCGCCTTCGCCACCTTTTCGACAAATTTCTCCCTTTTAAACCATTTCCAGATTATCCTATTCCATTCAATTTAATTTTTTTTTTCCGTCTACTGCTTAAAACAATAAAGTCGCGGTTAATCTTCGGGTGCGATCGTACTAGCACTAATGCACCGGATCCCATCAGAACTCCGCAGTTAAGCGTGCTTGGGCGAGAGTAGTACTAATATGGGTGACCCCCTGGGAAGTCCTCGTGTTGCACCCCTTTTGCCCCTTTTTTTTCCTTTTTCTTTTTTGACCCTTCCCCGGACAACCTGTCCGGTTTTTAGCCCATTCGATCGCCTTTGCCTCCTTTTCGACAAATTTCTCCCTTTTAAACCATTTCCAGATTATCCGATTCCGTTCAATTTCAATTTTTTTTCCCGTCTACTGCTTAAAACAATAAAATCGCGGTTAATATTCCGGTGCGTTCATACCAGCACTAATGCACCGGATCCCAGCAGAACTCCGCGGTTAAGCGTTCTTGGGCGAAGTAGTATTAGGATGGGTGACCCCCTGGGAAGTCCTCGTGTTGCACCCCTTTTGCCCCTTTTTTTTTCCTTTTTTTTTTCGCCCTTTCCCGGACAACTTGTCCGGTTTTTAGCCCATTCAATCGCCTTCGCCTGCTTTTCGACACATTTCTCCCTTTTAAACCATTTCCAGATTATCTTATTCCATTCAATTTCATTTTTTTTTCCGTCTACTGCTTTAAACAATAAAGTCACAGTTAATCTTCGGGTGCGAACATACCAGCACTAATGCACCGGATCCCATCAGAACACCGCAGTTAATCGTGCTTGGGCGAGAGTATTACTAATATGGGTGACCCCCTGGGAAGTCCTCGTGTTGCACCCCTTTTGCCCCTTTTTTTTCCTTTTTTTTTTTTGACCCTTCCCCGGACAACCTGTCCGGTTTTTAGCCCATTAGATCGCCTTCGCCTCCTTTTCGACAAATTTCTCCCTTTTAAACCATTTCCAGATTATCCGATTCCATTCAATTTCAATTTTTTTTCTCGTCTACTGCTTAAAACAATAAAACCGCGGTTAATATTCGGGTGCGATCATACCAGCACTAATGCACCGGATCCCATTAGAACTCCGCGGTTAAGCGTTCTTGGGGAAGTAGTATTAGGATGGGTGACCCCCCGGGAAGTCCTCGAGTTGCACCCCTTTTGCCCCTTTTTTTTTCCTTTTTTTTTTCCCCGTTCCCCGGACAACCTGTCCGGTTTTTAGCCCATTCAATCGCCTTCGCCTCCTTTTCGACAAATTTCTCCCTTTTAAACCATTTCCAGGTTATCCTATTCCATTCAATTTCAATTTTTTTTCCGTCTACTGCTTGAAACAATAAAGTCGCGGTTAATCTTCGGGTGCGATCATACCAGCACTAATGCACCGAATCCCATCAGAACACCGCAGTTAAGCGTGCTTGGGCGAGAGTAGTACTAATATGGGTGACCCCCTGGGAAGTCCTTGTGTTGCACCCCTTTTGCTCCTTTTTTCCCTTTTTTTTTTCTTTTACTGTTAGGATTAAATATTCATGGTAAACAATTTACGATTTAATCCTAACAATAAACAATTTAAACTCATTTTCGTCCTCATAGGGATCAATATGACCTTCATCTGGATCTCCATGGCTGGTACCAGACTTCATGCTAGTATCATCACAATTAAATGACTGGAGAAATTGCTCTTTCATGTAGTCCATACTTTTGATGACTAATTCTTGTTCAGAAAGTGCTGGATATTTTTGTCGTAATTCGTTTTGAATTTGGCCAAATGGATTCTAGACTGTGGGAGCAGCTGGGATTAACTTTGGAGTAGCATCCTAGCAGGCCTGAGTATGACCTTTAATTTTCTGGAGCAATTCTTGATGAGGTTTTGGATCATCCATCTCATTCCACCATTTATAAAAGAAAACTCTTTTTAAACGGGGAATTTTATTCTGAAAATCACATTGGAAATCCCACTTCCAAATCCAAGGGATTCCGAAGCGGATTACAAAATGGACTGCATATTTGGATATAGATATGTCCTTATATCCGGGAAGGTGACTGTATGCAATTTGCCATTCGTTAAATGCATTACGAACATCTTCTAGAAAAACATCAATTTGAATGCCAAATTTATCCCACCAAACGAGAAACCAGTTGGGGAGATCGTTTTGTAAAAGTTCGGGAAGGACACGAATGAACCAAGAATGGTTTTGTGGGGGATTCATATAGAAGAAAGCTTGAGAAAAGGCATCAATATAATCCCAATAGCTGTAGCGAGATTCCTTGGAACGGATCTGAAGAGTGCGGGTAACATGGGGATGCATACCCCAAGCCAGCATAGGCAAGATATGTTGCATTGTAGCCTTGCTGTAATTAATGGGACTTGCTGTGCGATTTGGTTCAGCA